CCTTAAGCCAGTGAGACTCGAATTGTCGAACTGCTGGCAATCTGCAGTCAGCAAAAGTAGCCTGCAGTACTGCATTCTAACCACAGCTCATATTTAGGGAAGTATGTATGTATGTATGTATGTATGTATGTATGATGTATGTGTGTGTGTATTTATACATACATATACATACATACATATATATATATACACACACACACATATATATATATACACACCAGGGGTGGGTTTCAACCGGTTCGCGGCGGTCCCCGCGAACCGGTTGGTTGGCGAACCCGGAAGTAAGTAACTTCCGGGAACGGCGAAGGGCCCACCTGGTCGCCCACGCTTCTTACCGGTCTTTGAAGGCTTCTGCGCTTCCACGCAGGCGCATGGCACATACAGCGCCTGCACGAGTCTCCGCGAGCAGCTGGAGCATCATGCAGGCGCTAAGACACATGCGTGAACCGCGCGTGCACAAGGACGCCGCCGGTCCTGTTCCAACCAAACCGGTTGGAACGGGATTAGCAACCCACCCCTGATACACACACACACACACATATATATACATATACATAAACACACACACACACATACATACATATATACATACATACGTATATATTTGAGAAAAATAGCCAATGTTGGTTTGACATAAACATTTTAAGCAGATTGATAACAATTATGGAACTGCTATACCTATGAGGGTTTTGTTTTGTAGAACTACCAGTTTCATATCTAAGGATTTTTTTTAAAAAAAAAACTGCCATCTTTAATTATTTGCTTACAAATATCTGTAAAATTTTCAATTCCCATATCCAGATCCTGCTGCTAACATAAAATTATAAATTAATTAGAGAATGACTGAGGCAGCTATCTCCATGTAGGAGCAGTTGATTCTAAAATGGTGGCACCTTGCTTTGGCTCTTAAGGCACAGGGATTCTGTGCAGTTCGGAGAACCCCCAAATCCCACTCCTGGATGGCCTCGCCCACCCCACCCCTCCCAGGAGTCCCCATGTGGCTCATTTTGGATGCAGACAAGTGCAGGGCATGCGCAGAGGCTCGGGGAGGGCGAAAAATGAGCCTATCGGAAGTTCTGGAAGGCCAGAAACGGGCCCGTTTCCAGCCTCCAGAAGGTCTCCAGGTCCTGGGGAGGCCGTTTTTGCCCTCCCGGAGGCTCAAAAAAAGCCTCCAGAGCCCGGGGAGGGCAAAAACAGCCCCTCTACCATGGTGCAGGAGGCTGACTAGACCACACCTACCATGGCCACGCCCACCCAGCAACCAGGAGAGAACTTGTTAAAATTTTTGAAGCCCATCCCTGTCTCAAGGTTGTGGGTTCCACCACAAAACCACGTTCGACTAAAGGGCACTCGACAAAACCGCGTAGCTGACGTCATCACAGCGCGACAACAGCGC